AAATATAATTTAAAAAAAATGCTAATCTAAGTGGCATCTTATGTGGCATGTGACCTAAAAGTAACATACTATCATAGGTCAAATAGGTTAATTGCACAAATTTAATAAGTTAAAGGGTCTAATTGGAGGTTGTTTTAGTTCGAGGGTCTAATTGCACTTTGATTTATAGTTAGATGGTCTATTTGACCCTTATCTCTTTATTTATTGTGTATAAAATCTTATATTAAACAACACGTGCGATTTTATGACATGCGTTTTGTCATATTTATTAACTACTCCATCTATCACATTTTATCTGTCCTATTTACTATTTATTGGTCAAACTAACTCTTTCTTTTTTGTTTATTTTCTTTAGTATTTTAAACTTATTTTTGAATTTGATTTTTTGTGTTTAATAATACTTTTAGTGTAGTTTTTAAATATATAAATTTTGTATACTAATACTAAACTTAATATTATGAAAAGTTTGGGGGTCTAAATTGTATCCCTATAATAAAATTTGCCTCATCAAAATCTAATTACACTTATTCTTAAAATTAGGGTTTGAGATAATTACCAAAGTGCAACCATATTTTTTTTCTCATGTTCCCTTGCTTTAGAGCCATTGATCATTACCAAATCGACGGTCAAGATGTGTTCGCAGCTTTTACCTGGGTGTTAGTTCTAATTTGATTCCATACATGCATACATTTGGTTGTGTATTGTTAGAGTAATATTTATACTGGCATATTTTTAGTAAAAAACTAACTTCAATTACGAAAGATTGTTGGTGTTTTATTTTGTTAGTGTCCTAGTCCCGGAATGTATTAAATGAAGTTTGCGTAGGGGTAACTCAGTATCAAGACTTATGTGTTAATAGCCAACTAGTAGTATGCGCAGCAAAGTTATCGAATATAACTGGTGAAGTATTTCTATCAGTAGTGCATAGAACAATAACACGCAAAACAGTAAGCAAGCGCTAAAGAGAAGTACGCAAGAACAGAGGACGTTTGATAACCCAGTTCGATTATAAAGTATTATATATAACGCTTAAAATATTGATTATATATGCAATTCTGCTATGTAATGACAATATATTTCCTATGAATTGTCTATTATAGTTTTCATTTAATGTACTACTTTTATGCGATAAAAGTATATATTCATATAAGGTTTAACGTATTAATGATATCTGCAATCCTATTATGTTATTACTTTATTTCCTACAAAATGTGTATTACATTTTTGTTATAAAGTATATATTATACATAAAGCTTAAAATATTATTTATATATGCAATTCTGTTATGTTATTATTTTATTTTTTGCAAACTGTTTCTTACAATTTTGCTACAAATTACTATTTATAAGGCTTAAAACATTGATTATATCTGCAATTCTGATATGTTATTACTTTATTTTTTGTGAAATTGTCAATTAAAGTATTGCTAAAAAGTACTACATTTATGGTATAAAATTATATATATATATATATATATATATATATATATATATATATATATATATATATATATATATATATATAATATTACTATTATATTATTATTGTTGTTGTTGTTGTTGTTGTTGTTGTTGTTGTTATTATTATTATTATTATTATTATTATTATTATTATTATTATTATTATCTCCTTCATATGTATCAAAAACTTACTAGGAAATTAAATAGTTCATTTCGGTTAGGGTAATGTTATTTGTTTATACCAAAATTTGTATTTTTTTTTTTTTGAGCAAAAATTTATATTATTTGATGTAGCTTCATATGACTAACGTGTGATGAGATTAACTAATAATTCACATATAACTGACAATATAAGGAATCATAATATTTAGAAAACAAAATTTTACGTTCTCAAAAAAAAAAATAATAAATAAATAAATAAAATTTACAATGTGTGAGCTACAATTTAATATGCTTTGTGAATTGAAATTGTATATTGTGTTAGGATGTAGCTCTCTAATAATAATTTTAAGATCAAATATTTGTCACTATACCAATGTATATATATATATAGTTAGTTAGTTACAAAAATGCAACTTTATTTTTTTACGTAAAAGTCAGCGTCACATTTGAGTAATATGATACTGGAGTTCTACTATTATACTTTCCAAAGTTATACATTCCCTCATACTTTACACTATATATATATATATATATATATATATATATATATATATATATATATATATAAATAATTAAGTTCCGCGTAAATGCTTCCCATGCGGTTGTGTGGGTGATTAATGTGTGTGAGTTTTGTACTTAATGTGCGTGAGTCTTGTGCTTAAGTTGCGTGAGGTTTGTGCTTAATGTGTGTGAGCGTGTAGTGATTAATGTGCGTGAGTTTTGTACTTAAGGTGCGTGAGTCTTGTGCCTAAGGTGCGTGAGTTGTGTGCTTAATGTGCGCGAGTGTGTACTTAATAATGTGAGTTCTTGTTGAAACTTTAAAGTGCATGAGTTTTGTGGTTAATGTGCGCGAGTTTTGTGCTTAAGGTGCGTGAGTCTTGTGCTTAAGGTGCGTGAGCTTGTACTTAATGTGCGTGAGTGTTTACTTAATGTGAGTTGTTGTTAAAACTTAAGGTGTGTTTTTGTGCTTAAGGTGCATGAGTTTGTGTTTTGAATGTATTTTGTTTGTATGTTTAATGTGCGTCTGTTGTGTACTTAAAGTGCGCCAGTGTAATGCTTAATGTGAGTCCACCCGCACAACCGCATGGGAAGCACCACCCGCACCTGATCATTTTCCTCTCTCTCTCTCTCTCTCTCTCTCTCTCTCTCTCTATATATATATATATATATATATATATATATATATATATATATATATATATATATATATATATATAGGGAAGGGTTCAGGTGCGGGTATAGCTTCCCGTGCGGTTGTGCGGTTAGATCTGAGCTGTTGATCAAATTTAGATCAACGGCTCAAATCAATGAAAATTAAAAAAAAAAAAAAACGCGTGTCTGGAAGAAAGAAGCATAAGTTAAAAATAACGCACCTTAAGTGATAGAAACATGCACCTTAAGTGTTAGATCTTAAGCACAAACTCACGCACATTAAGTACAAAACTCACACACATTAAGCACAACCTCACGCACATTAAGCACAAAACACACGCACTTTAAATATTAACTCACAGACTTTAAGTTTCAACAACTATTGACATTAAGCACAAACTCACGCACATTAAGTACAAAACTCACGCACATTAAGCACAACCTCACGCACTTTAATTATTAACTCACATACTTTAAGTTTTAACAACTACTCACATCAAGCACAACCCCACGCACATTAAGCACAAACCTCACGCACCTTACGCACAAACCTCACGCATATTAATCACAGATCAGTTCACCTTAATTTTGACCTAGATGCAAAATTACAAAATTGCCACCGTGTTTTTTTTTTTAAATTTTGGTAATCCTGGACGTTGATTTAAGCGAGATGAATGGCCCAGATTAAACCGCACAACCGCACCTGGGCACCTTAACCGCACCAGACGCGAACGGCTCGCCCAGGCGCGAAATAAAAATGGATTCTGTTCGTCCACGTGTCCAGATCTAATGGATGAGAAACACTGATTTTTAAAAAAAAAACGCGGTGGCATTTTCGTAAATAATTGAACATCGAAGTGCAAGTAAAATGTATTACAAGTGTATGTAAAATGTATTATAGGTGCAAGTAAAAATTTACACTGAGCATCAATACTTAGTTGCACTTATAGTTCTAAGTAGTTGCACCTATAGTTCTAAGTAGTTGCACACATAGGTATAAGTAGTTGCATCTAGGTGTATGAATGTTTGCGAGTGGTTTTCAGGAGTATTACTACCCGCTGCACTCAGATCAATGAATGTTAACAAGGCAAAATTACATGCACTTATAGGTGAAAGTAGGTGCACCTATAGTTATAAGTAGTTGCACCTATAGTGATAAATAGTTGCACATATAGTTATAAGCACGCCCAGGTGCATGAATGGTTGCGGAAAGTGAATGCTAACAAGGCAAAATTACATGCACTTATAGGTGAAAATACGTGCACTTATAAGAGATTTTACTTGCACTTCGATGTTCAATTATTTACGAAAATGCCACCGCATTTTTTTAAGTTATTAGATCTGGACACGTGTCGCGCGCTGATTCGTTCGCATTTCCTTCCTGGGCATTTATTCGCACCTGAGTGCGTCCATATATATATATATATATATATATATATATATATATATATATATATATATATATATATATATATATATATATATATATATATATATATATATATATATATATATATATATAAAGAAAAAGGGGCCAAAATAAGCCCTAAACTTTACTCAAAAAGTTAATTAGGTTTTTAAACTTTTAGAAGTTGCAATTAAACCCACAAACATGTTATTTTAGAGTATTGAAGCTCAAAAACCTATTGGTGACCTATAATTACAGGTCTATTAGGGTTTCTGTCATCTCCGACGAGCGTCCATTCAATTTCCATTTGCTGGAGAAGGCGACTAACTTGGTGGCCTTCTCTGGCAAATGAAGAAGGCGATCAGTTGGTCGCTTTCTTCAAACGCAACTGGCGATCCTGGTATTTGACACTGCTTGTCAAAAATTGTTCAAATGCTCGTCGGAGATGATCGACCTAAACCCTAGTTGATCTGCAATTACAAGTCATCATCATATTTTTGGACTTTAGTGCTCCAAAATAATATGTTTGTGCGTTTAATTGCAGCTTTTAAAAATTGAAAGACTTAATTGACTTTTTGAGTAAAGTTTAGGATTTATTTGACTTTTTTCCAATAGAGTTTCCCAAATACTGATTATTAGCCACATTAGATGATGCAAACATAAAACATTTTACTTTTCTCTAAAGGGTGGGAACTAGAATAAGAAAAGAAGGATGGGAATTAAAAGAAAGAAGGAAAAAAGAAGAGGATAAGAGCTTGGTATGTATAGTAAGGTAACTAAAGATAGACCTGGCCAGGGTTTCCATTTTTCTATCTCACTCTCTCTTTCTTCACTATTCCTTTCTCCTTCTCTCAGTATTTACTCTTTCAGATTGGTACCCCAACCCTTTTATATACCACACACTACTAAAAGAGTTTGGTTTATTTGCTCACCAAGATTGCAACAGTTTCCACTTCTCCACTACTTTCTGAGACTGAGCTAGTGTGTGTGTGTGTGAGAGAGAGAGAGAGAGAGAGAGAGAGAGTTAGAGAGAGAGATGGGAAGGGGAAAAGTAGAACTGAAGAGGATAGAGAACAAGATAAACAGGCAGGTTACTTTTGCTAAGAGGAGAAATGGGCTTCTCAAGAAGGCTTATGAACTTTCTGTTCTTTGTGATGCTGAAGTTGCTCTCATCATCTTCTCCAACCGTGGAAAACTCTATGAGTTTTGCAGCAGTTCTAGGTATCTTTTTCTTTCCTTAATCTTCCCAAATAAACCTTAGCTTCTACACACCCTACCTTATTCCCTGTAAACATCAAACCCTTTCCTATGTGTGTGAATTCCTTTTGGTTTCTATTCAAGATCTAGCTTTTTTATTATTCACAATTTGTGGGTTTAATTTCTTTCTCTTTTTTATTCTGGGATTTTTTTTCAATATACAGATGCATCATTCTTGTGAAAGATCTACTACTTTTCTTCATTCATTATTTTTTTTTTCTAGTTACATACAAATATTCTTGAACATTTGGGTCATAAATTTTACCATTATTTAGTTGTTTGAAGAGATGCATGTAAGTCCATAATTAATTTTGATTTGTTAAAGCAATTAATTAATCAGTTTTTTTTTTTTTAATATGAAGAAAATCGATCTGGTCATTCTGGTGACCTTTTTGGAGGCAATAAATTTTGATTCACTGTTAAGATTTGATCTGTTGAGATGTCATGTTTTACAGTATGTGTCCGCTGATGTTCCTTGTTCTTTGATTTCCAAGGTTGCAGCAAATATATATATAGTTGTTTTTGTTCTAAAGCTGTCTATCTTTAAGCCCTCAAATCTGCTATTATGATATTAAAGAATACAAATTAAACAAAAATATTGTGTTTAACCCTACCATATCCCATCTATATTGACATAATATTCATTTCCAAGATGATTATATTATAATCCATCAGATTCCAGTTTCCCTTTATGACCACTGTGTAAATTCTTTACCTGGAGTGTGTGTGCATGTCTTATAATCTCTGACCCATGACCTTATTTTCTGATCTGTCTCGTTTTAAAAATTCTAAACCACAAAATCAAATAAATCCATCTCATTATTCATAGATCTGATCTTCAGAATTATCATCTATCTAATCCTGCCATGGACCGGAATCCACTTTGCTGGGTGAACCCTAGTCCAAAATGACATTCAGATTATGTATTTTAAGTTAACATATTATGGGTCTGCAGTTACCAAATTATGTGTTACAGATTGTGTTGTAAATAAATTGAAAGCACATAATATCTAAATATATGCAATTTATTCATACAAGTATATGCAATTTATGCATACATATTTTATATATGTTTCGTCGGAGGCTCAAGTGAGCCAAGTCAGCCAACTATATAAGTTTATATAATATGATGAAGTGATTAATTTGTGGCAGACTTGTTTAATAATTAACAAATAATTGATCGATTAGGATAACTCCAGTCAAATTGGTCAGCCTATTAACTTGCTAATTATTAAGTTATAAGTTTGTCTCCGAGTGAAAGGGCTGGCGTGATTTATTTAGTGCACACTTGTGCGTAGTGATTGTTGGTTTTTCTTGTCCCTCAAAAAAATAAATTAATTGATTGATTAAAAACCAAAAATGTTACAAAATTTATGTAATCTTTTAGCATTTTATTAATAAATTATTATTATTATTATTATTATTATTATTATTATTATTATTATTATTATTATTATTATTATTATTATTATTATTATTATTATAGAGTCATTATTATTATTATTATTATTATTATTATTATTATTATTATTATTATTATTATTATGTTATTTTTTTAAGGAGTTTAACTTAACAAAACTTACCTTCAAAAAAAAACTTAACAAAACTTGTTGTGTTTATGGAGCATACAAAAGCATCTCAAAAACACCAAAATATCATGCTAAATTGTATTACATAACAGAAAATTGAGGTCAATTGATTATTCATTCTTTCTAAGTTGTAAATACCATCATATAACGATTCTCATTTTTTGTATTGATGCATACACACACAGACACATAAATATACATATATACATATATTATTATCAAATTACTCCATATCTATACGCTTACTGATTTAACTTATTACATGTTTAGCCTGTGAGAAATAATTATCTGTACTAACTCTAATTATTTTATTATTTTTTCTAAAACAAATATATGATTCTTGAAATTGTATTAGCATGATGAAGACCCTTGAAAGGTACCAACGTTGCAGCTATGCTCATTTGGAGGCCAACCAACCAGCCAGTGACACTCAGGTATTATTTTTATTATATTATACTCAGGTATTATTTATATACTGTATATTGTGTAGATTGAGAAATATAAAATATGTCAATTATCAATGTCATCGTTGAATTATTACTAGTGTAAATGTTGCCTCTCAATTTTCAAAACGTGATATATATATTGCCCTCTCCTAATAGGAGTAAGGAGAAACATTGTTATCGGCGGAATGAGAACAAACGAAGAAAGAAAAATGGAGGGAAAAAAAATGTAGTCTTCGAATAGGGAAAACGGCAGATAACCACATTTGCACTACTAATAATCCAGGAGAAGGGTAATATATGTCACGTTTTGAAAATTAAGGCGCAATATTTACATCACTAATGATTTAGGGGCAATATTGATAATTGACATATTAGTAAGTGGCATAAATTACAATTTTTCCTATGAAATATTATTTATCACCAACTTTCTGAAAATAATTATTACCAAACATGTAAGATTTTTTTTAAAATTTTATTATTCTATAAAAATTTAATTAATTTATAGCAGGATTAACTAACTCACGAGGAATAAAACTAATGCAAAAATAAAACTCTCACCTCATATATTGATTTTTTTTTTTTTAGAGAGAAATAATAAAGGAATAAAAACTGTGACCAATTTTTTTTTTTTTTTGAATGAATCAAAATGTCAGGTAAGCAAAGAGCAAAAAATGAAACTTTATGTAATATTATTATTGTTTTATATCCGTGCATCTCTACTTCTTCATGCATAAATATGTTTTCATAATTAACCATCTATATTACTATATAAACAGAACAACTACCATGAATATCTAAGGCTAAAAGCTAGGGTTGAGCTCCTTCAACGATCCCAAAGGTATGTCTCAATCACCTTATTACCACCCCCCCCCCCCCCCCCCCCCCCACTATACATGTTTATAGTTTGAAAAAAAAATCCATTTTGGTTCCCTGACTATTATACATGAAGCACATGTGATCCTTGACTATTAAAAGTTTCTAATTACGTGCATGACTATGTAATTTGTATCACATTTGGTCCTATAGTCCAATTTCCCGACCAATTATTGTCAGAAGTGCTCCTTCCGAAAGAGCACTGCATTTGCTTCTTTCAGAAGGAGCATTGCATTTGTTTTTTCTGTGAGGAACACTTCAAGCAATAGTTGGCCAGGAAATTGGACGGCAGGACCAAATGTGATACAAATTTGATAGTCATGTACCTAATTAGAAAATTTTAATAGTCAAGCACCAAATGTGATTCATGTATAATAATGAAGGAACCAAAAGTGAAATTTATTATAGTTGAAATTTCACTAGCAACAATTTCACTCGGACTTTTTTTAAATTATTTTTTGTACATTAAGGTATTATAATTTGATAGCATTCAATGATTTTTTTTTTTTAACTTATTGTGAGTGACATTTATTACTTTTGACTATTATTCCTATGTGTCAAATGATGCTTCAATAAGAGCTACTAGAGTCAAAACAAACAACCTCACAGCCTTGACAAAGACAATAAATAGCTAGGGTTTGAATGACACAATATAATAAACAATCATATCGTAGTAGTTTTGGTCTAAGAAGATATTTAGCCAAGGGGTGAAGTTATAATTAAATAGTTGAACAAAATCATCCTTAATCATGTAATTAAGAAGTATATTATATTATAAATAAATAGTAACTTCACTTAATAATATGTGTGTTTAATTTCAATTCTATCTTACATAATCATGTTGTTGTGTTTTATGTATCTAATTCAGTTAATAATATTTATTCAAAATATTTAGAGTTCAACTATTTGTAATATTTAATTTAGTGTTAGTATATATATATATATATATATATATATATATATATATATAAGAAACTACGAAGTTAAATTAATTGGTTTCATGTTGTATCTCTTAGGTTTGTATTAGGCAATACCAAGTGCAAAGTTAGGCACTTTTTGGTAAATCGTTGTTAGCTGATTGAGTTATAAAGTATGACTAGTTAATAACATTAGTTGATTGTAGTGAGATATTTGGTAAATTAGCAGTTAGCTGATAGCTGTTTGGTATAATTTCTTATTTCAAAAAGTCAATTGAAAAAGTTATTTTGAGCATCTTTTTAAATTTTAACATTTTGAAGTTACAAAAAGCTGATTAACAAAACACTTATATTGATTTTTTAACCAAGTCAAACAATTAATAGTGATCAAATAAAACAAAATTAGTTGATAAGCTAACTATTTTACCAAACAGGGCCTTAATATTTTTACCATTTTATTTATGTACAACAACAACAATAATAATAATAATAAAATCTTGGAGTTACTATGATTTTGATAAACCTCTACATTATAAAATTATTGTTTTTACAGAAATCTTCTTGGGGAAGATCTGGGTCCATTGAGCACAAAGGAGCTGGAGCAACTTGAGAATCAATTGGAGGCTTCCTTAAAGCAAATCCGGTCAAGGAAGGTATTATATGCTAATTAAATGTCAATATTTTGAACCATTTTAGGAGGAGCATTGTCAAATTATGTGATTTTATTATAATAATTTTGCAACAAGTAAATTAAAAAAATAATAAAATTAAATAGAATCCCGTAAACATATCTACATCTACAATCTATCTACATCTACAATTTTAATAAGAGCCAATAATGTTAGGCCCTTAACTGGAACAAAAAAATGTCGGTCCTATTGTTTCTTAAAAAATTTTAATAAGAGCCAATAATGTTAGGCCCTTAACTGGAACAAAAAAATGTCGGTCATATTGTTTCTTAAAATGAATGGTTCATATTATACTATTGTTTCTTAAAATGAATGGTTCATATTATTTTTATTTTAGTATTTTTTATTGATTTTCCTTATTTACCCTCTATTATATTATTTTCTTCCCTTAAATAACCTAAATTTCGTTAGCATAAACTTTAGTAACGGAATATTCCGTTAAGTATTTATTATTTTAACTTATACATTAATTTCTATAAGAAAAGTCTTAGTTTCGAACCACATCCCAATTAGAGTTGGCATAATTGTTAAACATATATACTACGAATATGTTAAAATATATTTAAAATATAAAATATATATAATATAAAATTTAACATAAAGTTTGTTCAAATAATTAGTCTGACTAAATATATAACATTCAAAGTTAAGCATCAAAGATTATAAATCAAGAAATTTAAAAATCATTTGATCAGAAAAAAACTTAATATTCTTTTGATTATTTAGATCAGAAAAAAAAACTTAATATTTCAATTATACTTTTGCATTAATATTTTTTGTATGTATTTTTTTAAAAAAAAAATCAATGATTGCATTATTGTTGATGAAAAGTATATACGCCACTTTATTACTCTTATTAAACTAAATAAAGTAGTAGCTACAACAAAAAATAATACATATTTAATTTAGAATTAGATGTCTATAATGCATTTATTTAAAAAAAAAAAACTATTCATTATAAAAAATTTAAAAATAGATATAATTTCATTAGTTATATTATCTTTATTTTCTACAATTCAAAGATTCATTACCTTCAAATTTATCAATTTATTATATTCACTGCATTGTCCATTATCTTCTTTTTACATTATCTTGTAATTTTTTGAAAAGAAGAACTCAGTTCATTAAATCATGTTCCAAAATCGGGACCAAAAAATCTGGTGGCTCATCTAACCACTCAGTCGAACCTGACATAGAAACGGCTTCCCGTGCAACAGCATGGGCCGCGCAATTCGCAGATCGCCGAACATAAGCAAAACTAACCCCATGCAAAAAAGTGGCTATATGTTTTACATCGTCTACTAACAATCCAAAAGCAGAAAAAAAAAACTCAGACCGTATGGCATGAATACATAATTGAGAGTCTGTCTCTACATCCACCTCCCCCAAACCCGTATCTCGCAGCCATGATAAAGCTTCACGCAAACAACACCCCTCTGCCTCCTCCACCGTATACTGGCCCTGTACACGCACCCCCTTCACTGCCAAACACCGCCCAGCATCATCTCGCACCACCCACCCCAACCCCATAGCATTATTTGCATAATCAAAAGCTGCATCACAATTCAACTTCAGCCTTCCTACCTCCGGCGGACGCCACACCTCGTCCGACTGCCCGTGATCGTTGCCTCCACCCACTACCTGCACCGCCATCCAATTATGCCAGTACCGCAAAGCATGATGCTGTACTGCCTCTCTTACAAAATGCTCCCCCCGCCACACACTCGCATTCCTACTCGTCCAAACTGCCCAATACAACATTACAAACCTGCTTCTAGTGTCATCATTTAGGGTCCCTAACATGCCAAAAAACCAATCAGTAATACTAGCATTGTCATGAACACTAACAGTGAGATGTAGCGATGCCCATATGGACCTTACATTCATGCAATCCCGGAACAAATGAAAAGCTGACTCCTCCACACTACTACACATATGGCAATTTACACCACACACAACCCGTCTCGTGGCCAAAGCCTCACGAGTTGGTAGCATCGCGGAAGCCAGCTGCCATGCAAACAACTTCACCTTGGGAGGAACCTGAAGCTGCCAAATTAAAAGCCAAGGGTAATCAGACATGACCTCACCACGCAGTAGCCTATAAGCCGACCGCACCGTATACAACCCCTTCGACTCTCCCTTCCAAACCCATGCATCTCTAGGACGACGCAGACTTACAGGCGTATTATGAATATATCCCGCATCCCTGGCATTAAACACATCTAGCACACAGTCCCGATCCCACCCAGTCCCGGCGGCCATATTAAACAAAGAGCTTACCGGTGCATTAATAACGGAGTCATGCAGCTCAGTACTCACATACGGGTCCTCCGCCTTAACAAGCCATGGATCCCTCCCAATCGTGGTGGTCTTGCCATCCCCTATACTCTTCCTATACCAATGTTTGGTTGCATTTTTCGCCTCAACAATACTACGCCAAACATAAGACGGGTTAGCTCCAACTTCTGCATTCAAAAGATCAGTATTTGGAAAATACCTGCTCTTAAAAACCCGTGCAACTAGGGAATCTGGTCTAGTCAGCAGTCTCCAAGTCTGCTTCCCCAATAAGGCCAAATTAGTTTCGCGCAAGGTCCTGTACCCCATACCGCCTTTAGCCTTCGGGGCACACATAGCCCCCCAAGCCCGCCACCTTATCCCGGCCGTTCCTGCTACCTTTCCCATCCACCAATATTGGTTCGGAATGACCTCAATTTCCCTACACAAACTTACAGGCAAAGAAAATACCATCATAGCATAGCTAGGTAGCGCCTGCAAAACATTTTTTAATAACACCTCCCGGCCTGCCCTTGATAGAAAGCGAGTATTCCAACTACGAACCCGCGATAGAATACGCTCCTTCACAAACCCCAATACAGCCTTCTTATTCTTCCCTACCAAGGATGGCAACCCCAAATACTTCCCCGCCGTATCCCCTGGCCTGATCCCGAGCGAGCTCACCACTGCACTTCTGCTCTCAAGGTCAGTATTACTACTGAAGCAAATCAGAGACTTGTCAAAATTCACAAGCTGTCCCGATGCCCCTGCATACAAATCTAGAATATCCTTCATAATCTGGGTTTCCTGCATATTAGCTCTCATAAAAAGAAAACAATCGTCTGCAAATAGCAGATGGGTTATTGCCGGTGCCCCCCGGGCCACCTTCACACCATGCAACATACCACACATTGTCCGGTTCTCAATCAGCGCCGAAAGCCCCTCCACCACAAGTAAGAAAAGATATGGTGAGAGCGGATCCCCTTGTCGAAGCCCTCGCGATGGCACCACAGGCCCTAAATGCCTCTGTTCATGAAGAATGTGATACTTGACACTACTCACAGTCTCCATCAGAATATCAACCCACCTCTCGTTAAACCCAAGATTCAACATGACTGCTCGTAGAAACCGCCACTCCACCCTGTCATATGCTTTACTCATGTCTATCTTCATGGCCGCCACCCCTTCCCTGCCTTGCGTCTTCCTCTTTAGGAAATAGTGTGCTTCAAAAGCTAGCATCACATTATCCGTTATTAGGCGCCCAGGCACAAAAGCACTCTGGGCCTTCGAAATAACCTTATCTAACAAAGGCTTTAGTCTATTCGCACACACCTTCGCCGCAATCTTGTAAAGAACATTGCATAACGCAATAGGCCGGAGATCCTTCATCGACTCAGGTACTGGCTTCTTGGGTATTAACACAATAAACGTATTATTAACGTCGGCCGGCAACTTAGCTGTTTCAACAAACTCCCTGCAAAACCCCGTGACTTCCCCTCCAACAGTAGACCAGAAGTGTTGGTAAAATCCTGCACCGAAACCGTCGGGCCCGGAGACTTGTCAGGATGCATAGAAAACACAGCCTTCCTTACCTCCTCATAGCTAACAGGCCTGGTAAGCATTGCATTATCAAGATCCATAATACGGGAGCCAAGACAACCAACCACATCAGCTACATTATCTTGTAATTAAATATCAAAGTTATAATACAAAATACATTATATATATTTATTTACCAATTAAGTATTTTATACAAATATAATAAATATTAATATTTTGTTCAATACTTTCACATGATAACCTACACACATCTCACAATGCATGAAACATATAGGGAAAAACTACCACTACCAAATATCGATTAGAAAATTCAATAAATATTATCTTGCATTTATATATTTTGAATTACCGATTTATATAAACAAATTCAATATTTATTTGCATATGCATGAACATCTCCGATATAATATTGCATTGATATACTTTGAAATACTTATTTCAAAATAATCATTGGGCATTATCCCATTCGCGCAAAGCGCGTAAAAAAACTAGTATTATGATACAAACGGATGCATTGGGAAAATTACCTGGGTTAGTTATGTTTAGTGGATCTTATGATGATGCCACAACAAAGAGCATTGTGAAAGGCATGAAGGAAGAGGACACGTTTAATTATCTAATTTGTAACATTTTGAATACTATAACCCTAAAATAGCAAGTATTAACATTATTTTTGGAATGAAATTAGGTGAGGACAATTATAATTCATTCCATTCTTAGCTTTGAGAATTCCAAACTATTGATAGCCTTTTCTTTTTCAACTTCATTGTTACATTGCTACCCAACCTATGGTTTCTTGTTAGGGTTAAAACAAAAGCCCTCGTTCATTTGAATTTCAGAAGCTAAGAATATCACTTTGTTCTTCTTTTTTTCTTCATGTTTATCATTCCAAAATCAAAAGCATTCAATCTGTGTTCAATCCAAATTGTTAGTTATGGCTTTCTCATCTAGTAGGGATGCTAGACTAGTAATGAAGAGTACTTAGGGTGAATTGTCACTCTTGAGGATTGCCGATAGTATATATGCAAGCTTATGCTCTCTCAAGCACGAAGTACTAAATCTTCTTGTAGAAATTTAACCCTAATAGAAATCATTTTGGCAAGTGTAGTAGTAAACTAAAATAAGCAACACTCAAATGACAATTGAAATGAACACAATGGATATAAAAGGTGGAGGACAATAGGAATTTAGGCTACGCTAAGGTAATATGATCAAACCGGGAACAAGAGTGAGAGTCGATTGACTTAGAACATATATCATTAACCAGGAGAAGGTTTTTTCTCAAAATCATTCTACACCCTTAGAACACAAGACATTCCCATGACTCATTTGTGTCTAAGAGGCATTTAATCAAACATCTTTTTCTTGACTTATCATACTCTCCTTTTCCCAAATGTGAATTAAGATTAATTAACCCCTTGAGTTTAGACTAGGTAATTAAATTCTAATTGAAGCTCAATTATGTTAATTAACATCATCAAGATTAAGTCTCATCACTCCTATCCTCTTCCTAGAGGACTACTCACACATGTTCACAAAGAAAACAAACATAGATTCAAGAATAAAAGATGATTTCATATCTACACAAGTAAGGAATTGAAATTACAATGAATTGAAATTTGAATTAATTTATCTAATTAGAATTCAACTTGCATCTAATAGACCTTCAATCCACATCAACACTTGCTTCCAAAAATGAATAGAACTTGAATCTAACTAGGAATTCGAATTTGAATTGAAATGAAATGTAAATTGGAAATGCAAATTGTTATTCTAGGGTTCTAAGAGTTAAGGATTGGAACTAATGTATAAATTATATTGCCTAAGAAAATGACCTCCCTAATCTAATCTATTCTCTAATCTCTGATGCATCAAAAGAACCAAATTCCCCTTTTTTATAACTCGAATAAAGCGCGTCATGAGGCCTGTCACGAGCGTGACATGACTCGAGACAACCTTGTTGTGTTTTATAGCCGGAGTTGGTCTTCATGAACTCCTTCACATGCGTGACACAACTTGTGACGACTCATCCTCTGGCTTTCATCCTATTTTGTTCATTTTAAGTCCAATTTAATACTTTTTTTTGCCTCTAAACCTTGATATGACGCCAATTTGCTCCTTCCTACACAATTTATCACATAATTGGTCAATTTAAACAATAGCAAAGCAATTCTACCTAAAATTGCCAATTTAACACCTATTAACTAACAAACTCTAGAGGAACAATCTTGTAGAATTTCAATGAAAAACAAGATCTCTGAGATAGTTTCAGCATAAGAGAGATAACAAATCACGAAATCCAGAGACTCCACCGAACCCCAAGGGTTATGCAACAGTTCAATCTCATGTTTGAAGCATACATGAGCAACATAACCCAAAACAATGGGAATGGCCAATCAAAACTACAAAAATATTCACGAAGATGACACCGGAAGAACTCCTCAAGGTTATATGTATGATGAGTCTAAAATGCCCTACAAAGATGCCGTCATGTTTCACACTGTTCTTCTATTTTTCATTTGCAGACCCAATCTATGCTGGATCAGCTAGCTGAGCTTCAACAAAGGGTATCCATTTCGATTAATAATTATAAACATATTTCACAAAATCCATATATATATATATATATATATATATATATATATATATATATATATATATATATATATATATATATATATATATATATATATATATATATATATATATATTGAGTGAAATTAAAAGCTAACTATTGTCTTATTACAGGAGCAAATGCTGGCAGAGTCCAATAAACTCCTTAGAAGGAAGGTAAAATCATCAAACAACGTTCCCTGCACACATGCATGTATTGATTTTGTATTTTCATTTTCTAATAAGTTAGATGGATAATGCATGCTACTTATACTAACTTCTATCTATATTTTTTTATTCAATTTTAAAAAGTTATTGCATTATATTATAAAGTATTTGATACAAATAGCATTTCGATAATTATTATAACATGCATACATGTCAACATTCAATAATTCACCTCAAAGTGATAGAATTACAATTGACATATTATTTAATTTCTACAAAATTTAGGTTAAAATCCCTATTGAACATTCACTATTAGTTTTAGTAAAAGCATTTAACGCTACATACAAGATCTGTTGGGCGGAGGTCGGTAAAGGATTTAAAAGGTCAAGTCCAGCATCTAGCATCACAAAAATGTGTGGCGGTATAAGGAAAGAAAATTGCACATTCGCTACTATCTATAGCTTTTGGCGTAGTTAGTAGTAAGCGTTGATCCTAACAAGTGGTATCAGAGTTGCTTTTGACGTAATGGTAAGTCCTTGATCCAAACAAGATCTAACGTGGGCGCATATAGGGGGTGTTTGGTAAATAGTTGTTAGCCGATAACTGTTAGCTGACTGGGTTAGTGGGTTTGACTAGTTGAGAGCATTAGCTGATTGTAAAAAGATGTTTGGTAAATTAGTTGTTAGCTGCTAGTTGATTACATGCAAAATTACTTTCTCAAAAAAAAAACTGTTTTGAGTAGTTTTTTGAATTTTAGCGTTTTGGAACAATAAGCTGTTACAAAAAACTAATTAATCAAACACTTATATTGGTTATTTAACCAAGTCAAACAGCTAAGAGTGAACAAATAATAATCTAAAATTGAGTGATAAATTAACTATGTTACCAAACAGGTCCATAATTTGTGTGTTCTACAAACCTTAAACTTAATTTCATGTTTATAGTTGGAGGAAAATGTAGCCGGAATACCTCTCCGATTGTCATGGGAAGATGGGAATCAAGAAATTCATCAACAAAACCGCCAGCTTCCTCCACAGTCCGAGGGGTTCTTTCAGCCTTTGGGGCTGAACATATCTGGACAAATTGGGTATGAAAAACCCATTTTTTTTTATTAATGTTTTAGATATAAAACAATTATGTACTAATTTATAGTATATGTATGTGTGTACTTACACTCATGTTTGTCTGTTTGATTGTTTTAGATACAACTCTGTTGGCACAGATGAGGTAAACGTTGCAGCCTCAGCTCACAACATAAGTGGATTCTTTCCAGGGTGGATGCTGTGATGATAAGATGTTGAAAAAAACTTGGAATAATAATTCAGGCCACCTTAATTTTATTATATATATTTCCTTAACTGGATAGATTATTAAATTTAGTACTACAATGATGTCCTGGTGTGTGCTTGCTTGCTTGCTATTTTTGCTGTGTTGTGGTTTGTCATCTGTGTATAGCTACTTGTAATTATTGTTATTGTTATTATTGGGGACAATAAGTCTGCATAAGTTGGCAATAACATAACTATATTTTATATATGTAACCTTTCTAAGCTCAGGGAAAAAAAATTATATGTATGTAATTATTTGTATGGTATTTTAATTGGAGTGGCCTTACATTACGCGAGGTCGACTTCTTGCATGCCCGCCGTTTGCTGGGATCGCCGGCGGCAACGCCCGCCGTTTGCTAGGATCGCCGGCGGTAACGCGTTCTCCTTCGAGCAACTAGCTAGTGAATGATCCCCCAGAAGGCGGATACGTGGGGATCCACTATTAGTCAGTCTGGTGCGGATTCCGAGTACCAGTCTTCCCGTATCTTTCTCTTCTTCTTCAGTACTACGGCATCGTGCCTGGCTAGCTGGTGCCCAACTCTTACCGTCTTCTTGTTTCCTTCTTGACTTACTACCATTGCCTCGAGGTGTCGCCTTCTCTGTCTTTATTCCACCAACTCTTCCGGCTGACTGCAGTTGGCTCGATCTCCCTGGGGCATGTACAGATACGCTCTCAGGACAACCGTAGATTCCTAGACAAGCTGGAATCCTCCCACAAGGATTGGAAGGAGGAATTCCTTTTTGTCCGCCTGGCCGACTACCATCCAACTTTATATTTCTCGACTGCCTGACAATCGTCGTAATTTCACCTCGAGATGAGGCCACCCTGCCTAGACGATCTGGTTGATCTGGTCCAATGGATCACCAAAGGCGAGCTCATTTTTGCCCGGCGTTGGTCGCGACTGGGGGCCATGATAAGGGCCGGCATCCTACCGGAAGGAGCCTCCAAGACATGTTTGCTCTTCTCATATTGCCTGACTACTCACCGGCCCATGTGCTCGGACCTAACTTTTTCCTTCTTTCTTCACAGGAAACAACGATACAGAATCATTCTCGGAGGAGTTAGAGGAAGACGAGGACGCGCTGGCCGCGCACAATACGATCCCCCGGCCGGTTGTCGAGTTAAGCTCAAACGACGACGCACTTTCTGAGGAATCTTCACAGGAGCTAATGGCCGACCGCCGATCAATACTCCGGGCTTCTAGTCGTGCCTGCCTGAGTGCCGCTGATAAGGAAAAGAGCATTGCTACCTTAGCCGACTCCACCCCACCGCCAGCTGTTCGCAGCTCGGGTCCTCTAGTCATCGGAGGTTCACATACTGTCTTAGCCCGATCTACCGCAATTAATAGGCAGAGAGGGTCGGCCACTCCCACAGGTCCATATGCTACTCCTTCTCCACGTCGGGCTGGCACTAAACGGCCCGGGGAGACTCACGTTGAGGCCCCGGCTGCCAAGAGGAAACTGGTCGGCCTGGAGGCTAATGAGACTAAAGCCATCTACAAGGGCCAGTACCCTGTGGGCGAGTGGCAGAAAACATGATCTACCCCAAGGACCTCGAGTCCGTTAAGGGGGGGAGATCTTGACTCATTGCTTGATGGGGTCACCTTCCACACTTACCAGGTAGTCTTTCGCTTCTTATCCTGACTGCCTAATATATTATACTTAGCTCTCTATTAAAGTCCAACTTTGATTGCAGGCTCTGATGTATCAACTCGCCCTCCGCCGCTGCCAGAAAGTCATGTTGGCTGAGCTGAAGGACCATTCTGCCATTCGGGAAAATCATGCACAACAGATGGACGATATGAACTTGAAGCTTAGGCAGGTTGCTTCGTCTCTAGAGGTAGAGTAGATGAAGAATGACCAGCTGGCGGTCGAGCTCCAAAACGCATAGGAGGTGGCCCTAGCTACTTACCGGCAGTCACCCTAGTTTTAGAGGGAGATCGCTGAGCATGCACGGGCCAATGCTGGAGAGATAGCAATGGAATGGCTGGCTTCAGCAGCCGGTCAAGCTTACCTGGCGGAAGCAGGCACTGAGGATTATCGGAGGGGGCTAACTAGAGCAGTGGTTTTAATCTTACTTCCATACCCTTTTCCCTACTGTAATTTGACTGCCAGCTTAGGTTTTTTTGGAACGAACTCCCTTTTGTCTACTTTCCTTTACTCGTATTGCATTCAAATTTCACTAAGTACCTTTGCGTGTCGGGTCCGACTACTCATAAACTCGAGAATGGGCGAGCTTGACTGCCTGTGTGCCCCCCGACAGGCAAACAAACTCCAAAAACATCCAAGTCGCTCAGTAAGCGAGGCTGACTGCTAGCGAGCTCCGAGATAAATGAACGCCAAAAATTGCTAAGTCCCTTAGTAGGCGAGGCTGACTGCTTGCAAGCCCCCGAGAGATAAACAAACTCTAAAAATAGTCAAGTCACTCAGTGGGCGAAACTGACTGTCTACAAGCCCCAAGAAACAAACGAACTCCAAAAACAACCAAGTTCTTCAGTGGGCGAGGCTGACTGCATGCGAGCCCCCAGAGAGACAAATAAACTCTATAAACAGCCAAGTCCCTCAGTGGGCGCGGCTGACTGCCTGCGAGCTCCCGAGAGATAAACGATCTCCAAAAATAGTCAAGTCCCTCAGTGGGCGAGGCTGACAGCCTGCAAGCCCCTGAGAGACAAACGACCTCCAAAAAAGTCAAGTCCCTCAGTGGGCAA